AAATTCATCGCGTCTTGCCTGCTTTCCCTGCGCACCGCCGTCGGAAATTCATCGTGATATAATTATCTATCACATAGACATCTACAATCTGTGTCACTGAAATTACATACAACTAGTGTCTGTGATAGACTTGATAAAATGTTTTTGATCAAGAATTACATATATAGACTGTCTATGTCTATGTAACTAAGCTATGTTAATTGTAACTCTTTTTTACAATATAGAAAAATTGTGAAATGTTCTTTATGTTCCATTACATGGTATATTTGATGGATTTCATTTAAACACATATTACATAGACAATAAACATCTATTTCTGATTAATTAAAGACAATTTTTGTCTATGTGACCATAAAACACAACAAATAATACTACAAAGAGCCAAGAATTAGATGTAGTAAAAAGGGGGAGATGTAGTTACAATAAAGTGTAAGTTATAATATAGCACAATGAGATATTGTTTTCAAGAATGAGAAACAAATAAAGCATAATTATATTTCACTTTTCAATTCCACCATTAAAGCAAGCAAAAGAACTGAGAACATCCAAAATTATATCACACCCAAACTTTATATACCAAACATTACATCCTTCAAAATTTTAGAATAAAAAATTCTAGTGACATGTGATGATTACATCTTTGCCATCACCAATATTGACTTCGGCCATCGTCTGCAAGAAGCAACCTTTCAGCACACAAGTTCAACACATCTTGTTAATGTTGTAAAAACTAAAAAAAAAATATGAGAAGTAAATTAACGCATTTAAATCAAAACTAACAATACGTTCCAACCAACATATTGATTATCTATGACTATGAGATTCAATTTTACATGCAGTTAACGGTTTTAACTGAAGAATTTACTTAGTGTCTGTATATAGGCATTTACAAATACGTAGTATAGGTGATTACAGACACACAGTGTTTGTGATTAAAAATTCACAGACAATAAACATTTGTGAGCTCCATGTATGCTCAAGAAAAGTAATTCAATCACAATTATTATTTATCACAAAAAAGAATGTTTATGAAGCAAACATAAATCATGTACACTTTCTAGATAGTTGAATTCATATTTCTCATGTGCCATTGAACCAATGTAAAACACCGGTGATTTATTGACTGACAAACCTTAAACATTGGTGATAATGAAATACATACATTTTAAGCTAATAATACACACTCGAAATACATTTTAAAGCAACTGTTAAAATAAGGCAAACTATTAATTAGGATACATGCATTTCACACTAAAAAGCAATGAAGCTCTTCAGAGACATTTCATAGCAAGTTTTGAAATTGAGCACCCTTATTTGGAAAACAGACATTCTATGCCAGTAACAAACACTTCACAAACACTTTCAAATAATTTATGAAATAGAACAAGTTCTTTTTTAAATACAGACATTTTATGCAAGCAAGAAGCACATCATAGACATTTCAAAACAAGTTTTGAAATCGAATACTCTTAATTAGAATACAAACATTTTACACCTGTGAAAAGTACTACACAGACATTTCGCAATAAACATGAAAAATATAATTCCTAATTAGAACATGTTATTAATGAAAAATTAGCAACTGAAAATATTCAAAAAGGAAATAAACAATTGAACAAGTTCAAGAAACAATGATTCACAAAACACATAAACAAAGGCTAATTTCACAAAAGGGAAGGATTGAGCGATTGAATCTAGATTTACAAAATAAAAACCCTAAAATGGAAATATAAGTATTTATTATTACCTTTAATTTGTTATTTTACCGTGGCCGGATGGGTGCAAAAAATCGAAGAAGACGAAGGAGGCGCTCTTTGCCAAGTTGAATCTTCCACCGATGCACTCGATGGAGGATGGCGAAGTAGGGGTTGCTGCAGAGGAAGAACGGGGAAGATGAAGGAGAAGCTCTCGGAGAAGGGATGCTCTTCCGGTATGCTTCGTCGGAGAAATCTGAGAGAGAGAGAGAGAGAGAGAGAGAGAGAGAGAGAGAGAGAGAGAGAGAGAGCAGGGGGTTATGGAAAGATGG